CACACACACAAACACACACACACATACACACACACACACTCACTCACACACTCACACACTCACACATACACACACACACACACACACACACACACACACACACACACGCGCGCGCGCGCGCGCGCGCGCGCGCACACACACGCACACACAGGTGCTTTTAGGCGTACAATATTTTCATGCAAGTCAATAAGCAGGGAAACATTTGTTTGTTACTTATGTGTAAGAATACTTGTGAGGAAACCTAAGGGTGGCTTGTTAGTTTACCGCGAAGAGGACTGGCTATGGTTATATAATACATGTATACATGTAGTTTGTTTTACCTAGATTTACGAGATAGTTCTCATCGTCTTCAGAGAGTCCACCCTCTTCCTGTTTGGGAGCAATCTTTTTCACACTATCAAGCTCAACCAACTCGAGCTCATTATGATCTTCGTAGCTGTCGTATGTAACAGGCGCCTCGTTCCTCCCAGCAGGGACATCTCCGAGCCGCAGATAATCATCCCTTTCCTTGACGGAGATGTAGCTTCCCGCACTGAGAGCTCCCCGTGCCTGGCCCAGCGGCAGAACGGCGGGGGCAGCAAGTGCCAACAACAGGGTGGTGGCCACCACGAGGCCCAAGAAGGGGGAGAACTTCATCGTTGAACGAAGGTCTGGAGACCGCTGTTGAAAAAAAAGAAGTAATTCCACGATCATACTAGATCTATAGTTTTTGAACTATTCAGTAATCTACAAGCACCATAAAAATACAATCGAAATGGTCCAAGAGAGCCTCGAGGCAAAAAGAGGTGGTCTTTAGCAGTGGCGTCGCATGGGTTGCACACAAGGTGGTGCATAATCTATCTATATTTACAACTGTTTCTAGATGAAACCGCATAAAAGCTGTAATAAAGTGAAACAATACTAACAACGCACAATGCTTACAATCTGAGAAGATTTAATGATTTCTTAATTACTTCGTGCAGCACCAGGACTTGCTACACGCTAGAGGGAGACAACTGTTTCGATACCCATTCTTCATTGAGTTACCATAGACTCTACCAGTGTAGTAGATAGGCTAGTGGAAACTTGGATCAAATTTTTAGCTTGCATCAAACTGGTGCTGCGAAGAGGAGTCTCGTGCACCTTTCTTCCTGGGCAGGAAGAACGATGCCTAGATTTCTCTACAGTGACTAAAATAACTTCGGTGCAAAGATTTTGTTTGCTCCCAGCAGAAACTACCGCAGCCAGTGGGTGACGGATCGCAAGGATGTAGTAATGTACATGTAGATCTAGAGCACTGACTGGTTTAGAACAATAATTAGAAAAGGGGAGCGGGTGGGGTTTGACGGCCAGGGTTAGGCGGAGCGCTTGCACCAATTGCACCAATGGCGCCCCACCACTGGGAGAAAAGTCTTTAGTCAAGTGGACGTCTTGAACAGTGTCTTTTAATACACAACGTTTTTCACCACTAAAAAACCCACCCAAAAAAAAACAAAGGGGGGGGGGGGGGAGGTGTGATAGGGCAGGTTCGACGGTATTTAATTTTCAGACGACAGTTTTGAAAGGTTTACTTTTACTCATAAAAGCGTACTTTGTGCCTGTCTGTAATCAATAGGCCTAATCAGAGGATTGGTGCGCTGTCGGTGACAGTGTTATGTCTGACAAATGAGTCCATAATGTGTCGGCGAAGTCAATGTTGAGCTGAAAGCTTAGATTACAACAACGATGTATGAATGACCACAGTCCATTAATGTCGCTCCACCCGACAATCAAAGTTGAACTTTTTCTAAATCATATTCCAAAAGAATTTGGCTCAGTTTTATCTGTTAATTGCGCAAAAATTAATTTGTTCAAGGAGTGTCTAATAAGAAAATATTTGGAATAAAAATCCCGGGAAAAAAAGAAAAGCTGGCTAAAGAAGCCTGTTTTTAGTCACCATTTGACACAGTCTGGTAGTGGTAGATTTCGAATGAAATCCGAACAAGTTTCTGTTGTAAATTGCAAATATTATCTGTCGTGTACACCATGGAATGCAGTGGACATGAACACAATTAATATTATCATTTTATTACATTTACTTGATTCTACAATGACACTTCTTGCGCATAATAGGCTATATGGAGGACAGGCTTAACTGAACATTTAGACCTATAGGCCTATATTATGCAATTTTTCTTTCTTTTTTGCCAACGTATTACACAATGTATTGTATTTATAATCAAATAGTACGAGTGAATCACGGAGAAGGGGTTGTTTTTATGTTTTAAAAAAAAGCCATTTGATTTTAAAGCTGTTATTTTCTATAATTTATTTTCGTAGCTCGTCTTATAAAACCTGCAATATCTCTTTTTAAAAAAATCTAAATTAAAGCTGGTTCATAATTGAGAAAACAACAACCCCATAGTTTGAAATCGCATGTACCTTTATCTCAGTTTTAAAAATTCACGACATATTATGGGGCCTATTAGTCACACACACACACACACACACACACACACACACACACACACACACACACAC